TGTATCCAATTATAAAAGTTACGTAACATAACCACCTTAAACAATTTTCGTATCCAATTATACGATTAAATTAAATTAAATAGAAAAATTAGATTAAATAGAATATTTATTTGTAAAACACTTATTAGAATTGCGGAAATGTAAACGAATGTGATAGCAAAGCTTACAATTTGCTTCAATATAAGCACAAGTAAACTAGCTTCGTTCAGGCGTTCTTAAGTAACTGATTGTAACAGGCAAATTACCACTTGTTATACCAGTTTAAAAAGAGTAGCTTTTCTGAGTAAGCTCTAACGTTATTTCTTTATATATTTTTTGCTGTTGGAAAATGCATTTAGGCATACCACTCGTATACAAACAGGTGGTTATGTGGGATCCACCGGCTATAAAAGCAAGTACTACCCCCTAAAACTCAACTGAACCTCCCCCGTCTTAATGGGGCGTCGTAGGATCACTTATGCACTCAACCTCGACGCCCCGATGGCAAGTCTGCTGAGGCAGATCATAACAGCCATGGGCTTGCTCCAACGGTCCACTCTGCTATCAGAGAAGTACCAGGAGCAACCCGCATGGCACCACAGCACCGCCCACTGGACAAGCTCTAACGTTATGGACTTACTCAATAATTAATACTAATGTTCGACTAGTGGTCGAAATTCTAACATTATAAGCATTGTTGAAAATTTGAGGTAAACATAGGAATAGAATTTTCCTACCTATATGAAAAAAAAAACCATTTTGTCTTTTCCTATTTATATTTAAATAACCTCGTATAATCGATGTCATTCTCTATTTCAGAAGTGCTCCACACAACAAAACTTTAACCAAGTGTCATCCGGTCTCCTTAAACCGAAATAGTAAAAAAATATAGTCGAGGATTCTCATAATTTTTGAAGTGAAAACTTTTATAGGCAGGTTTGTATGGGGAGTAAATTCATGTAAGTCGTCATCGACATGGTCACGTGATGTGTTAACGCTATCACTTAGAGTGCCGATAGATGTCAAAACCAGTTAAATGTAAACAGTTTTAATTTACACATTTTAATTAATATCCAAAAATAACAACTGTTAGATTGTAGTTTTACGTTTTCACTTCTGTCGCCAGTCCTCATGACTGGTTTTTTTATATGTTTCTTTCTATAGCTTTAAAGATATAATTAAAGATTTTATAATTAAGGTCTTTAAATTAATGCTCCAAGTAAAAGCTAGTTTTTATATAAATAAGCATGATTATTAAATAATAAGCTTACTAGTCAACTAGATTACACCTACAGACCTACATGATACTAAACACTGCGATTTAATATTAAATATCTGTTTTAAAGATTCATTGAAGGAATTATTAAAAATAAAAAAGATTTACTCTAACTTCGTTGGGGTGCGACCTCGATATGTTACTTTAGCTTAAAATCTATCTGAACCCAAGTAACAGACATACATACACAAAAACTTTCGTACTTAAATAATGTTGTATTAAGGGGGCGATGTATTACTTATAAAACTAGACTTTTGTTTGATAATATTTCTCTTATAAACTTATATTAGGCGTCGTAATTGAATGCGTAAGCGATCCTGCGACGCCCCATTAAGACGGGGGAAGGCTTTGTTGGGTTTTAGTGGGTAGTACTGGCTTTGCCGGTGAGCCCACACCTCGTGCGTAAATGCATTTCCCAACGTTAAAATTAAAAAAAAAAAGCTATTTATATCTCAAGAACGGCTGGACCGATTTTTAAACATCTTAGAATTAATAGATTTGCCTTCGCCCCGAATAGCAGAATAACTATTAAAACTACGAAAAAAAAATTACTTGGGTAATGTTAGCCTATAACTGTTTATATTCATTTAAAACGTACCTGTGGATGAACCCGAGCGAAGCGAGAGTGATCCGCTAGTAGAAAATATAAGAACGTATGTATTACGTAGAACACTTTAAATGGAAAGAGCGTATTCGAATTGCCAAATTTAGAATAAGATTGCGAATTTAAGTAATTATGCAGAAACCGTGTATATATGTATATAGCCAGCCTTGAAATTATTTAGTGAGGCAAAGCAAACATAGTTAATTAGATATAATATTGTCATAGACTTACATGTATGTAAGTCTATAAAATGGTGTATCATAAAATAATGTGTATTTTTTTAATAATAATTAAAGGAGAAACCCATTTTCCTTATAAATAAAATGATTTTAATAGAACTGTTCTACTAAAAAAAAATATCACTGATCTATCACTACAAAGATGTAATTACAATTTGATGATTTTTCAGGACAGGAGTTTAAAAGTATGGAGCTAAAAATATTAAAAAAAAAATTACATATATTGCGTAATTTAGGTTATTATTAGCATACACTGGTTTTTGGTGCCAATAAAATATAAAAATGAGTTATTAAAACTTATTTAAGTTGATATTAAATTAGAAATTAATAAAACCTGACTCACATTTTGTGATATTTTTTTAGATAAAATAATCTAACCATACAATTATGACATGCATTTATGTTGTACAGATAGGAATAAAATATGAAAATAAAGTGTGAAAGCATGAATTAAGAGTTTTATTGTGTTTATTATTATTTATTATTCATTTATTTGTATTAACAATTTGATTCAAATTTCTCAATCAAAAATTGGAATTTTGTAGGGTTGGTTATTCTTTTGGTAACTACTAATAAAAATTACAATATAAAATACTTTTACAAAAATAAACTAATGGCCTAAGAGCCTGTGAACGCCAGACCTTCGTCATTTTATAAAAGCTGAAAGTTTGTCAGCGCATGCTCCCAACACAGATAAGCACGATGGACCATTATGAAGTTCAGGCTATGGTGGCTTTGGCAGGTACACGGTACTAAAGGTGTGTAAAATACCGATCTAAATTCGTCAAATAATAAAGTGTGATTTTTTGGTATTACCTTCAGAATATTATAAAAAATCACGTCATTCAATGCCAGACATCGTGGCAAACCCTTACCAGACACTCATATATACTCATATCAAAACCATTTGCGTACCGCGTAAATAGTTGTTTTAATTTTACCACCCTATTCTTTTTTAACCAACTTCCAAAAAGGAGAAGGCTCTCAATTCATCGGAATCTTTTTTTTATGAACATTCACTCGAAGACGATTGAACCGATTTGGATTTGTTTTTTGTTTCAAAGGGTATACTTTCCAGGTCCCATATAAATTTTATCGAAATCGGTCGAGCGGTTTTTAAAAATCCACAATAAATATATTTTTTAAACAAATCGTTTAATCGAATTTGTCATTAAAAACTTTCTTCTTACAAATCACCTAATTATTACGTCTATAACTAATAAAACTGAAAAATAAAAACTTTTTACAAAAAAATAATAACCGACTTCCAGGACTACAATGTAAAAATAACTAAACGGAGATTTTCATTTAGAATAGATACCTAATCAGATATTTTCGAAGTCGGTGCAGGCGACAATATTTTAAGATATGAATATCTAATAGGTAAATATGTGTAAAATACATATTTACTTATTAGATATGCATACTATTATATACTAAAATATATACATATTAAAATATATTAATATTGTACCGAAATATATTAGTTGTTATACTATAAATAATATAAATTATTAATTATATAAAATAGGATTTATATGTATTAGTGTAGATTCATTATTTTATTCTTTATGTTGTCATTCTGATATAAAATACTTATTTGAGTTTTCTAACGTTGTCATCTTGAGTGGAAAAAGGGCGGGAGCAGCGTTGTATTTTGTTTCATGACTTTTAAATAATGCGTGATGCGTCATTCCTTTTTCAACCGACTTCCTCAAAAAGGAGCAGGTTCTCAATTCGGCTGTATTTTATTTTATGTTTGGTACCTCAGAACTCCGTGATTTATTAACCGATTTGGAAAATTATTGTTTTATTTGATAGTGTATACTTCCAGATTGGTCTCATTTAAATTTCAAAAAAAAAAATACCACCCCTAAGGGTGGAAAAATAGCTAATGATGAATTTAACCTACTTCTAATTGTCATATTTACTTGAAACTTTGCAAGTGTTTCTATTTCCGTTGACAGTACAGTGGTTCGGTATTGTTGACCTGATCTGATGGTAAGGCCAGAAGGTGGATAGGTGGAACTCTTCAACGGCTAATAGTAGATACTTTGAGTTTGTGCTTATTTTGTTTGATTTAACAAGCCTAACACGTTAGAATTCTTACTTTGCTACTACTGTCTACACTAAAACGGAAAAAATAAAAACTTTTAAACAAAATAATTAAAACTAACTTCAAACAAAAGCACTAAAAAGTAAAAAATCTCACTAAAAAGTCGGTGCCAGCCGATACAAAGCAAAGCACACCGACTTCAAAAATATTTGATTAGGTATGTATAGTAAATGAAAACTACCAATCAGTTATTTTTTACTTTTTAGTGCTTTTGTTTGAAGTCGGTTTTTATTTTTTTGTTAAAAAGTTTTGTAATGTCTTTTGAGGCGTTACTCTGACTGACTGACTCTGTATAAGATAATAAACACTGTGTGTAGTTACACTGAATTTTACTTGGTCCACCTAACATATATATATATATATATATATATATATATATATATATATATATATATATATATATATATATATATATATATATATATATATGTATATAGCAGAACAGCTGAACGAATCTGGATGAAATTTGGCACAGAGATAGATTATAGGCTAGAATAGCACATAGGATCCTTTTATCCCGGAAAAATATATGGTTCCCGTGGGATAGATTTTCTTATGTTTTTCACTTGGGGCGAGCGAAGCGACGGTAAGTAGCTAGTCATAAATATACGAGAGATTTATTTCTGAAATAATGTCTCTATTCGATTGAAAAAAGTTGAGTCGTTCTTAAGGTAAGGTGAGTCAAGAATTATAATACACGCTTATTTTATTTCTGATAAAAACAGATAAAGCTACAACTTAGTTTAAAAAAAAAAATTCCATCCTCTTAAAATTCATTATTTATTATTTTTGACGTTTTAACATATATTGTCTAATACCTTTGCAGTAATTGGCAACATAAGTTTTCCAGTCAATATCAATAGGGTCGAAAGGAAAATTTTGCTTGTCCGCTGGTGAGAGCGACGCTGCAAGGGCCCTCGTCTTCGATGAACAAATTTCCCAAGTGTTGAATGTGAAGTAATCCAACACATTGCGCTGTCTAGATACTTTTGAGAAAAAATCCCTGTACCTAAAGTTTGTAGAAAAAAAGTTTATATTTATTAGCGATATCTATAAAAATAATATTTTGTATCAACTTCTACAAATAGCAAATAAGCACGTAGCAATTTTATTATGTTTTCTTCTTCTTTGTTTCACTATTTTTGAAGTATGTTGTGTTTACCTTAATATAGATTTACAATATATATGTTATATATGATATTGATTATAGTGCTAGTATGAAATAATTGTAAAAATGCTGGTAGACCGTAAATAAATAAAAAAAAATAAAAAAAACTACTGTAGTGTGGCTCATGGGTATCTACTTATTGTATACAGCCCTTTTTAACGTCACACAGCTGGGCACGGGCCTCCCTTCAGTACGAGGGGAATCAGGCCATAGTCCAACACGCTGGTCAAGTGCGGGTTGGCAGACTTCACATGTCTTTCGAAAACTTGCTAGGTTCTCTCAGACAGGTTTCCTCACGATGTTTTCCTTCACCGTTAAGACAAGTGGTAATCATGTTGGAAATGATTAGCACATGAAAATATCAGAAGAGCGAGGCCCGGGATTTGAACTCGCTTCACTCGGTTTCCCAAGCGAGCGCGTTATTACTGGGCTACCACTGCCTCCTATGTAAAACCTACCTCCTATGTAAGCCTACTTATGTAAAACCTATAAGTTAGTAATAAACAGGACTTGGAACATAAAGGTTGTCTCATTTAATAGCATCATTACACTAGATACTCGCAATTCATACTAATATAAATGTGAAAGCGTGTTTGTTTGTTTGTACTTCTTTCACGTCGAAACTGAGTGCCAGATTGGCGTGATTTTTTGTGTGGAGATAGTTGGAACGCTGAAGAATGACATAGACTGTTTTTAATCGCAGGAGATTATCTCATCAGAATTACTTGGAATATAAAATTAAATACATGTTTTAGCATTTTTCGAATTTCATCTCAAAAGAGGCTACAATAGGGGGTGAATGTTTGTATGAAATCTACCTTTTTAGAGTTTTTTTTTGGAGTTTTAGCGCGAGCGAAGCCGCGGGATCTGTTAGTAATTTATAAATTTAATGATTCTTGTCCTAACAAAAGTCTAAAAACAACACTTTTCTATACTCCCATACAAAAGATTCGTAATAATACTTAAAAGTCAATTTGAACTTTAATACCATACCATAAAGTTTAAGTGTTAGTGGAGAGGTTCCGGGAAGGCAAAACAATTGAGTGACGTTAGTATCGTATAAATATTAATGTCAATATTTGTCCATATTATTAACGAAAAAAAAAATTATATGACTAACGCTGGCTAATAACTATTTATATCCATTTAAAACGTACCTAGCGACGAACCCGAGCGAAGCGAGGGTGAGCCGCTAGTATTAAAAAAAATTTGATCGTGTAGAAATGGTTCAAATAGGAACGTGCAAGTAGTTTTAATTTAATAATAATAATACAAACTAAACAGAAGTGATTTGCTTAGCGAATGGTTATAAAAACTGATAAGAAAATAAAATTACAGGTTTTTAGTGCATATGAAACAGAAAATAAATATATTACACATTTTAAATGAGTAAGCCTTATTTATACTTTTTAAATTGATTTGATAATTATTTGTCTTGGCTTTTTCCCTATAATTGGAACATGGTGAATTAGACAACATGATATTTGTACAATCGTTTATACCACTAGAAGTAGAAAACTATATAAAAAATATATGGTAACATATTCATATATAATATGTTCCCATATATTGTATATGGGAACATGCATAAGACAATTTGAAATAACGCTTAAATATATTCTTTACATACAATTTTCAATTTTCTAAAAGTATAAATACATCAAGCCTAAACCCCCAAGTACATGATTAGTAAGACTTATCCATGATATTAATTCACGTCTGATATCGATATACTTAATAGGTAGTAGTAACTCAGTGGTAACGTGCTCGTTTGGGAAACCAAATGAAGCGGGTTCAAATCTCGGTTCTGGCACTGGTGCTGAACTACGGCCTGATTACGATTACCTCTATCATAGGGAGGCCCGTACCCAGCCGTGGGATGTTAAAAAAAAGGCTGCATACAGGATACAAGAATATACCAGATAATAAATAAAAAATCCTTTATAAATTTATCTGTTAAATTACCTCGGTGTTTTTCCTTGCAGTATTAGCATGGTATCCATAAAGTACGCTGGTAGGGTATTGGAAATCAATATTATTAATGACTGGACCCATTTGGAAGTGGTAAAGTGTAAAGATGGGAACGGCACAACATCTGAAAATGATATCAAGAAGGTAAGATTAACAATTAACACTTAAGTACTAAACAAAATAAAGGACTGTCGTTTCACAAACAGAGGAGAAAATGGTAAGGTGAACTATTTTTTCTTTCCATTTTTATATATGGATTAGCATTGCCCGTGGCTCCGCCCGCGTTCATATGACCAAAACCAAATTCTTAGGTTTTACATATTAGTATACTCGCATTAGTATATTAGTTGACCCGGATAACCAGCTATTATAATACCGAATTTCTTTAAAATCCCTCCAGTAATTTTCTGTGATGCGGTCACAGACAGACAGACAGACAAAAATTCTTAAAACTATAGGTTCGGCTTCTGTTAGCGATAATAATGTGTATTTCAATAAGATTTTCCAAAAAATATTAAAGCACAGATACGGTTTAGTTAAATTTTGATGTCTCTATAGATGTAACTAATTTATAAAGCCAAAAAGATAGTTTTTTGATAATTTGAATACGGGCCGCGGGTAATTTAGAAGTAATTCTAATAAAATCATAGAAACGTCTAATTTGTATATTTCTTGGAATTAAAACTACGTATTTTAAAGACACATGGCGACATCTATTGACAAATATCTAAATAATACAAAAATAAATATTTATTAAAATAACTTTTATAATGAATAAAATAGTGCTATTGATATACTTTTTCAAGATTAGCTATTTTTAATAGTTTTTGTCATATTTAGTAAATTAACTTGCTAAATGTATATAGTATCACCGTTTTTTTATTCTAACCAGATTTTGTATTTTTTCTCAGAAATGAGATATTTTTCTGAGGTAAAAAGTATCCTATACGTTGACCCGGATAATCAGCTATGACCATACGAAATTTCATCAAAATCCGTCCAGTAGTTTTTCTGTGATGCGGTAACAAACAGACAGACAGACAGACAGAGAGACAAAAATTCTAAAAACTATAGATTCGGCCTCCGTATCGATAATAATGTCTATTTCAATAAGATTTTCCAAAAAATATTTAATGTACAGATTTGACTCAGTTAGAATTTTATTATATGTATATAGATTTTAAATAAGTTTTTTAAATCTATAAGTATGTAAATCTAGACCAATTAGACATTTTTGACCCTTCAATAACTAAAAATTTTACGATTTGAAATATTTTACAAGAAATTTTGATTAAAACCTAACTAACAATTAACTAAAATTAATATAGCAATAGCAAAAACTTTTTCTTTCACAGGAGAATAGGTTCCATGATGAAAGCTATCAAAACATCATAATAGTTATTGATTTAGCTCTATACTTAAAGATCTTGCCATAAACTTGAAAAGTAATTTACCTCTTTATTTGTTTTTTAATAAAAATGAGTATAAGAAAAAATATATCATCAGAATATATTATCATGTTTTCCTCAGAGTTTGACAAATTTAAAGATAAAATATTTTTTTATGAACACTATCAGTTCAAATTAAATAAATAAATAAATATATTGGGACATTAACACACAGCACTATCAGTTCCATGGTAAGCTCGTAGCTTGTGTTATGGATACCAGATAGTTGATACACTACACATATATAACTTTAAATATATACATATAATAAATAACAACACCCATGACTAGAGTACATACATTCGTGCTCATCACACAAATAAATGACCCCAGCGGGACTCGAACCCGCGACCACTGGCACAGCAAGTAGGGTCACTACAAATTGAGCCAAACGTGTCGTCGAATTGTAATTTAAACGATCGATCGATCGACGAATTGATATTACAATTTGCCTCAAATATCTATTTATAATATTATGTGTGCTTTACTTACTTGCTTTGTTTCTCTTACTATCCTCAATCGTTAAGTTTTTTAGCTGATATAAACTGATAGGATTGACTTTACTAGTAGAGCAATTGTAAACTTTAACATCTTTACAGCTGAAAACAATATATGTGTATAATAATAATATATAAAACTATCTTTTAACACTTTTCCGTGGACTTATTTTGATTTTTGTTTCCCGACATTTCAAATGATATACAACAAACATGAAGGCTAAGGTTTCATACGGTTCAAAGAACGACGTCGGGAATCAAAAATCAATTAATTAATATAATTTAATTTAAAACCAGCGACTCACCCTCGCTCCGCTCGGGTTCGTTAGTTACGTTTTAACATTTAGTATAGATTTCCCAGAGATGACATATTTTCCCGCAGTAAAAAGTATTCTATATGTTGACCCGGATAACCAACTATCATAATACCAAATTTTATTAAATATATCCAGTGGTTTTCCCGTGATGCGGTAACAGACAGACAGATAGACAAACAGACAGACAGACTAAAATTCTAAAAACAATAGATTCGGCTTCTGTATCGATTATAAAGTTTATTTCAATGAGATTTTCCAAAAAATATTTAATGTACAGATTCGGCTTAGTTACAATCTATACTAATATTATAAAGAGGTAAAGTTTGTGACTTGTGAGTTTGTGATGTTGTTATTATCGATACAGAGACCGAATCTATAGTTTTTATAATTTTTGTCTGTCTGTTACCGCATCACGAGAAAACCACTGGACAGATTTTGATGAAATTTTCTATGATAATACCTGGTTATACAATTTAACATATAGAATACTTTTTACTACGGGAAAATAACTCATCTCTGAGAAATCTATACTAAACGCTAAAACGTAACTAGGGACGAACCCAAGCGGAGCAAGGGTGAGTCGCTAGTTTAAAAATAAATCACGTAGATGCGTCATTTTGTTGCTGATTGACTTTATCATCCAAAGACATTCACACATTTTCAAATCAATCTACTTCCTTAGATTTACTGAACAGTTAATTTTAAATAAAACTATTTTTTTTCGGTTTTATGCACGTTTTATTTTAATTTTCCATCGTATAGAATGTTTTACAGCAAATATGGTAGGCGAGTATATATATATATATATATATATATATATATATATATATATATATATATATATATATATATATATGTATATTATTAAAACTCATGCACTAATAAATTAACATCGTGTCGCGCTACCCACACACAGAGGAACATAGGTGAGATAATTCAACTATTATTTTTTAATAAACATATTAGGACATTAATACACAGCACCATCTAGTTCCATGGTAAGCTACGAGGCTTGTGTTATGGATACCAGATAGTTGATACACTACATATATAACTTTAAATACATACATATTATAAATACAAACACCAATGACTGGAGTACAGACATTCGTGCTCATCACACAAATGAACGCTCTCAGAGGGACTCGAACCCGCGACCGCAAGTAAGTCCACTACAAAATCAGCTAAACGTGTCATCAATTCTACATATAATTTACATTTACTACTTATAATTAACATTTTCGTAAATAAGTTACATACAAATCAATATAATTACTTTGTATTGGTAGCAGCTGCAACAATTATGAGGTTGGCAACGTAATCCACGGGTATGATGTCAAGAATATTATTAGGGTTACCCAACACCACACGATTTATGCCCAAAAGGGTCAAAGCCATGTGACCAGTACTTCCGAACCAGTTGTCGACCCAACCAATCACAGGCTCATTTTTACTTCCTGACACTGAAATATAAATATGACTGTTTGTATGTATGACTGTCTCGTTGGTCAAGTGGTCAGCACGTACGTCTGTAAATCAAACGGATCGGTTCTGGATTCGAGTCCTAGGACGCACCAAGTTTGTGGGTTTTCTGTTAAAAAATTATTTCTTCTTATTTCGTGTCATATTTAGGTTTTACTTTTTGTCTTGACTATAGTATTAGGTCCCTTAAGACAATCCAAAATCCCTTAAGACCAGGGTATTTAACCAGTGCGTCCTACCCGTAATGACATCCGGAATCGAAACGTGGACACTCACCGTAGGGCGTCCACAAATTCAAGGTCGCTCAACGAGCGCGATGGAACGCGCGATGCTTGGACTTTCTCTGGCAGACAGAATTCGGAATGAAGTGATTCGCTAGAGAGCTAAAGTAACCGACATTGCGCGTAGCCAGAGTAGTGTAGGAAGCCCTGCAGCACGATAGCGCCTAAGAAATGTGGCTGGCAGTGGATTGATGTGGGCTGCCCAGGACCGGGATGGTTGGCGCTCCTAGGGGGAGGTCTTTGTTCAGCAGTAGACGGTGAAAGACTGATTGATTGATAATATAAGTGACGTAATGATATGATGATAAATTATTATTAATAGAGAGATCTTACCAATTGTTGGTCTAATAATGGTCGTGGGAATATTTCCATGTCTTTCTAAAACAAGGTTCTCTGCAAGTGCTTTAGCAAAAGCATATGTATTTGGTTGTTTATCTGAAATTATATGAATAATTCCATTTTTATATATTATATTATAAAAATATTAATTTGTTAAAGTTGAATTAACAAAATAAATAAAGTATTTATACAGATATTATGACAATTGGCAATCTTTGCTCTTCTGTTGGTAGAGCAAAGATTGAGAAAACGTAAAACATGTGAATCTAACTAATAAAAATAACTTACTGAGCAGTTTTTTAACTTCGTCTTTATTAACGTGGCCTTTTGCAAGCAATTCATTTACTTTATCTAAGGAAGCAGGTACCGGGTATACAATTTCTTCAATAATTGGTTTATCCGTGTTACAATATGCAGTTGAAACATGAAGGAACGACTAAAAATATATATGAAATCTGTAGTAATGGTAATATAATTGCAAATAAAATAGGCTCGGCTATAAACATACTGGATATACTACAGTGCCGATATATTGCAACTCTTTCAAGATTTAGTAAGCCTTTTCTTAATTGACCTTTTATTGATGAAAAATGATAGAGCATTTATTTTAAAAATTCAGCACTTCGGGCTTAAACATTTTTATTCTAATATCTCCAGCAAGGAACAACAATGCAACCTATGTAGTGGAATAAAATGTAGACTTAAAATTTATATAACAAATTCCATTGTATTTAGAAATTATTCTCAAATATTGAGTTTTAGAAAACTTAGCAATGACTGAAAGTGACATAGTTATGTACTAGATTGAATCAAATATATAATTTTAAAAAAACTATCTTTTCTCTTTTTTGATTTTTGCTTCCCGACGTTTCGAATGGTTTACAGCGAACACGGTGACGGGAGAGATTCGATCGATCGGTTACCAAAAATCAAAATAAATTTGTGAAAAAATCCTAAAAGATAGTTTTATATAAAATATCAAATATTCACTTAAATCTAAGAAAATTTTAAATCTTTATCACTTACCTTTATTGTTTTCATACGAAGGCAAAGATTAAGCACTCGTTCTGTGCCCCCAAAGTTAATATTCATGGCTACATCTAAAGGATCATCAAATAAAACACTCGCTGCTGAATGGAACACCATCGACACCTGTAAAACATAATATATATTTTATAATTCATATATGCAAATAAAAATTATGAAACAAGGAGCGATTTCTTGGTGATTATCTTCATAAATATTTGCTAATCTCGAATTGTACGGATAAGGATGAAAATAGTAGTTCACCTGGCTTGTCTACAAGTATAGAAATTACTATATAAATGTTAATTGTACTTCGAAGATGTAGAAGATTAGATTGAAAATATAGTTGTCACTAAAGAAACTAATGAATTCTATGTAGTAAGTAACTTAAAAATGAAGATAATTAACACTTACTTCCACTGTTGCAAAATATTTAGCTATGAAACCTAGGTCTTAAATCAAAGTATTAGTCAAAACGTAGTGGAAAGAGGCGTGCTTGAAGTTTCAATTAAAGATAAAAACAATAAAACCATAGAGAAAGCAAGGTTTTCTGCTATCCTAAATATGAAAAGCATACAATAAAAGACAGTCACTGGACATTTACAATAGGACTACTCTTAGTCATAAATTGGTGTTTCAGAGACGTGAAAAATATGGGAGTAGTTGACAATCTGAAGAGCTTTTTGTTTTCTTTGTTTGAACTACCAGTCGGATTTTAATAATCGTTAATGCATTTGATAGATCAATTCTTGACGAAGATTATAAGCTACCAAACATCATGTTACGAATTTTGGGATTGAAACTGTTATATATAAATATAAAACTATCTTGTGAGCAAAACCACAGGAAAAAGTAGTTAGTGCTTAGTAATTGCATTGCAATATTGTTAACAAACAATATTTTTAAAAGAACAATTATTGAGTTTTTGCTGGCTCTTTCCGGCACTATGACTGATTCTAAAAAATGTACACAAATGACGATTAAAAGGTGCTTGTAAAAGCCTATTTAAGTAAAATATATTTTGATTTTATTTTAAAAAAAAATAGTTCTTTACCTATGAAGTTTCCGTTTTACAATACTGGCCATTTGAAAAGTAATTTATGAATGGCCGGCAACAAATTCTAAATTAAAATGAATTTTATTTTAAAAATATGGGTTCTACTTTCAAATTGAGTCATTTGTTTATTATTTGGTTTACACTATATTTATCTGTTTTTCTTCAATATGAACACAATAAATATACGAGTAATAATGGAATACGAGTTCCGTCGCAGTAGCAATGCCCCACAAACGGCTCGCAACATTAATGACGATGGAGTGAACACTGCAAACGAATGTACTACTCCTTATTCATTTGAACGCTTCTTACATGGACATCTTAATCTAAAACATGAACTCCCTGGTCACCCGATAACGAAAATAACAACGTCGAATTAAAGGCGATAGTGAAAACTAATGATACTCAATCTACGACTGAGCTAGCAGCAGCTTTCAATCAAAACAATATTGGGCCAAATTGGCAAGATATAAAAACTTAAAAAAAACCGACTTCCAGGCACTAAAATATAAAAATAACTAAACGGAGGCTTTGATTTAGAATACATACCTTATAAGATATTTTCGAAGTCGGTGCCAGCCGATGCAAAGCAAATCTAATATATTTCAATACGCAAAATACATATTATTTACTTATTAGATATTCATATCTTAAAATATTGCAGGCATTAATATTATAAAGAGGCAGAGTTTGTTTGTTTATTTGCTTATTTGTTTGTTTGAATGCGCTAATCTCATGAAGTACTATTCTGATTTAAAAATATATTTTTGCATTAGATATCCTGCTTATTGAGGAATGCTATAGGTTATAATTCATTATACTACTACCCAAGGGAGCGGTTCGCCTCTAGAAAAACACTAATAGAGATCTATTAGTTCCCACGAGAACCGTTCATTTTTCCGGAATGAAAAGTAACCTGTTGTTTGATTGGAAATATAAGGTATCAGAATGTTAAATTTTACTAAATTAGGTGCATACGTTGTTGTGTACTAAGCTGTATAAGATACTATAGTTTTTTAACTATCCCACGGTAACTTTTTGGTTCTCTGGGATAAAAGGTATCTAAGATGTTGCCCGGGGATATAAGGTATAACCATGCAAAATTTCATTTAAATCGGTCTAATAGATTCGGAGATTAGCCCGTACAAACAGACAAACAGACAGAGAAACAAAAAAAATGAAAAGATCTGGATTTGTTCTATTAGTCTTCTTACATCCCCCTGACTCGGTTTTTAGCATTTTTTTGCTATGTACAGACATTCGACCTCTACTGTTTTATTATAGTATAGATATATAGTCTATTTATTACATATTAAACGGTAAAACATGCCTAGGTACGAACCCGAGCGAAGCGATGGTGAGTCCCTTGTAAGTAATATGTGTATTCGTTACTATAAACAATATATAAAAAATAGTACTACGGAAAATTTTACCACCAATTATAATATTATGACGTAAATATTTAACATAAAAAGTTATTATTGTTAATATAAAGAAGGCGAAAAATTTTTTTTATCTTAATATATATAATTCTTCTGTACGTGTGTTTGTTAACGTAGTCCGAAAGGACTGAACGGATTTGGATGAAATTTTGTGTGTATATTTCAATGGACTCCTGAATGATTTGAGAACACAAATGTACCCAGTAGGTGGCGCTGCAGTCGGTGTGTCACTAAATTTTTATAAAATACTCCATTTTCTGAGCAATAAATAAATTTAAATTGTTGATTAAATATGTGTAAAATCGATGTGTGTATGTATGTTTCCTATGGACTCCAAAACAGCTGGATCGATTTTGATGAGATTTTCAAGTAATCTTCAGATTAGCCCAGTGGATTATCCTGTGAATTTTGTTAGCGATAGGAAGTTTAAACGCGGGCGAAGCCGCGGGTACTGGTAGTTTACATATAAATTTGAAATACATTGTAGTTTTTCAAATTTATATGTAATTAATTTAATTAATTTGATCTCATATAGTCACGTAAATGTAAAAAAAATGTAATTATTTAATATACTTGTAGTTATTTTATTATTATTTAAGACGTTTTTTTTGTGACTTTATTTATTTATGGTGGACATCCTCACCGTTCGGACCAACGAGAGACCGAATGAAGACCTTGTTGAGAAGGTTGCCTTTGGTAGGTTATAGGTTATTGTGTCATGTCGAAGGAGGCATTACGCCATAGAGACTGAGGGGCTCTTTGTAATTCAATGAAACCAGAAGGTGAAGACGTCTCACTAGATGGGACGGACACTCTGACATGCACAAATTATCCATCCATCGCCACACACATTTTCTGATAATATCAGAGTTCTTAAGGATTAAATAATATATACTTACTTTGTTAATTAAAAGTTGTTGATCTTGAGTTTTCATTGCCAAGTCGGGACTGGAGATATCACCTGCTATGGGTACGATTTTGTCTAACATCTGTGGTTTTTCTTTTATTAATCTTGAAAATACCTATGTATATAAAAATAAAACAATTTATTAAAATGTATGAGTATAAATTTATTTTTATCTTTCATTTTATTTTTTTGTTGCGACATTTGACGACATTGCAAAATACATTAAATAAATGTTCCTATTAGTATTAAGTTTCAATTTATTGTTAAATATTAAATGTTCATAATAATATATATATAAAAATATGGACCTGTGTCCGAATGAAAATAAATAAATAAAAAATTAACATACAGCACCATCTCGTTCCATGGTAAGCTACGAGGCCTTTGTTATGGATACCAGATAGTTGATACACTACCCATCATATATAAATTTTAAACACATACATACTATTATAAATTTAAACACCCATGACTGGAGTACAAACATTAAATTTAAACACACAAATTAATGCCCCCAGTGGGACTCTAACCCGCGACCGCTGGCACAGCAAGTACTCACTACAAACTGAGCCAAACGTGTCGTCAGTATAAATAAAGTATTAATATTTAGCTTACGCTGAATTCGATTTAAATAATAGAAAATAATGTATAAAATAAACTTCTAACTCACCGGTTCATCTAACATTTTCGAAATCCTTTGGTGAGGTTTAATATTTTTCTTTTCCCGCACCAAAAGGTATACTTTGTCTATTTTTGGGCATTGATACAATAACTTTTCTAAAAGAACCTGCATTATAAAGCAAATATTTTATACCTACATAAAATTAAAATATATTAGTAGGATAAAAGTTATACATTTAATCTCTTTCATAAAAGGACAGATCTTTTTTATTAGCGTTCTTTTTTGTTGAAAGGTGTTTTTGTAAATATATATTTTTTTTTATTTTTATCATATTCTAGCCGTTAGCCGTTTTTTTTAATTATTAGAAAACTCATATATTATTATGCTTATATTTTCAAAAGTAAATTTTGAAAACGTGAAAATTATGCAATCAAGTGTTAGTCTAATAGCACTTATGTAAATTAATATCTAGTTAAAACACTTACAGAAAATAACAACACTTACACTTACAGCACTATATATATATATATATATATATATATATATATATATATATATATATATATATTTAAATAATACTAGCGACTCACCTTCGCATCATTCGGGTTCGTCCCTAGGGGTACGTTTTAACGGTTAGTATGGAATAGATATGCCTGACATATGCCTTATAGCCTATAGACTTCCTCAATAAACGGGCTATCTAATACAAAAACAATTTTTCACATCGGATTAGTAGTTTCTGAGATTAGCGCGTTCTAACAAAACAAATAGACACACAGACAAACAATCAAACGAACAAACAAATTACTCTTCCTCTTTATAATATTAGTATAAATTATCAAGCTAAAACTCAATAAACTAGCAATTCTAACAAGCACAGACTAGTAAAATATAACAGTCTAACATTTTAATTAATAATTTCTTTGGAAAAAAAAACAATCTTTTGGTTTCAAGAGATATCTATCACTTGCATTGTAAGTTGGCCGTCACCGGCTTATCCAAACACACTAATATACATGCACGAGTGAACCAAATGTTATAGGGAAATGCATTAAATGGCTTCCCTTTCGGTATTCGGTATTTCAGGGGTATTGATGCTAAAATGGATAGGCATCACTATGACCAATACTCATAGAGCAATATCTAAGCAAAAGGTTTAATGCTGACGTTGTGTTACTTTAAAATGATGATGATGTTCTCCTAGCCGATTCCGGCTAAGGCGGCCAATCTCATTGAGTGAGTACTCAAGTGTACGCGCAGACACAACGTGCACTCTCTATTCCTGTCATTCATACTTCGGTGGGACGACTGCTCGACACGACCAGTGAGAGTTAAGGCGCAGGACCGACGGCTTTACGTGCTCTCCGAAGCACGGGGGTGAAACGCCGCCAACTTCCCAACTCCGGGCTGCTGCTGAGACTTAGTATACAGAAAGACTCAATAACTAAGCTTGGCCCGACCCGGGACTCGAACCTAGGACCGCCGAGTGTGCAGCCGTACATGCTAGCCACTACACCACTGAGGCAGTCAACTTAAACATAATTACATATAATAAATTTAAAGTTAACTTTAAAATATAGCTGTAAAGTTTAATTTTATATAAAAAAAACTATGTATATGAATTAATTAAAAGTGTAATTTTTTATTTTTGAAAATTAGGTCGATGGAAATTGGCTTATAATATGATTCTTCACCATTGATACGTATAAGCTCACCTACTGCACCTCTTCAAAATTGTTAAATGTAATATTTTGAAACATATAAAATATAATTACCTTTCCAACGAATCCCGTGCTGCCGGTTATAAGAAGAGACTGTCCTTCATAGCTTTCTGCTATACTAGTATGCTTTTTACGTGAAGACGCATAAAAAAGCGTGAAACGAGAACGTAGCATGATAAAATCTAATAATAATTCTAAAACTAATTTTAAATGTATTAAGTTTATAATTTTAAATGCATAAACAAAATTTTTATTTATTATATAAATTAGCCTCAGATACTAAACAGATTACTTCGTTCGTTCAAGACAAATCTATATTTTATCAACAATGAATTTATTTACATCGCAAGACTTGCTTTTATATCCTCAATATACCTACGTATTAAATTATAAGCAGAAAAAAAAACAGTATAATTTTACACATTTTTTCCGTTTCACATTTATTAATTTTAGTTAGTAGTTCAATACCTTTTTTTATCTGTTTGTTAACCGATTTTCTTTTTTCTTTGTTTAGTGATTGAAAAATTGTGCAAAAAAAGTTATAATACTTTCTTAGATTTACGCGAATATTTGACATTTTAAATAAAACTATCTTTTCGGATTTTGTCGCGGATTTATTTGTATTTTTGTTTCCCATACGTCAAGATGTTTCATCTTTGTTACGTCGTAGTTCAAGGCCCAAACCTAATCTCAAAAAACAACAGTATTTAGCGTTGTAGAACTTACGCAGCAGGTCAGACATTATCATACTACGCGCAGATAAGGGAAATGCCACCGTCGTGATGGATACATCAGATTACAATGAGAAAATTAAACAACTTTTGTCGGATGAAAGTACATATAAAAAGGTCAAAACAGACCCAACCACCACTGTGTTAAATAATACTAAAAAGCTTATTAAGAAACACTCCGATGCATTGAATCTTGATGTCAAAAATCTTGTTCCATCTTGTGCAAAGCCGCCTAAACTGTATGGACTTCCAAAGATACACAAATGTAACGCTCCGCTACGTCCAATTGTGAGTCAAATCGACACACCGACTTATAAATTGGCCCAACTAGTAGCGAAAGTACTCTCAACACTCAGAGGACAAACATCAGCGTTTACAAGGGACTCATACCATTTTGTCAATGAGATAAAACACCTACAACTCATGGACAATGAAACTATGGTCAGTTTTGATGTACAGTCTCTATTCACCAGCCTACCAGTAGAGGACTGTGTCAAAATAGTATCAAGAAAGCTACGGGATAATAGTATGCAAGAAGAATACACTGAACTTTTGAAACACTGCCTTACATCTGGCTATCTATTGTGGAATGATGAATTCTACAAGCAAGTGGATGGAGTGGCCGTGGGTTCGCCGGTCTCTCCCGTTGTAGCTGACATCTTCATGGAAGCCTTCGAGGAGACCGCCCTAAACACATCACCTGTGACCCCTCGTTTCTACAAGCGGTATGTAGATGACACTTTCACAATATTACCATCTGATAAAATATCTGTATTCTTAGAACATCTTAACTCCATAAACCCTAAAATACAATTTACAATGGAATTGGAGTCTAATAATTCTTTAGCTTTCTTAGATGTATTAGTCATACGTAACCCAGATAACACCTTGAGTCATACTGTGTATCGAAAGAAGACCCATACTGATAGGTACTTGAATGGTGAATCTCACCACCCCCCTTCATAGTTAGCTACCGTGGGAAAATCTTTGTTTCAGAGGGCACGTGGGATCTGTGACGAGCAACACCTGGCCGGAGAGCTGCAACATGTCAAGCAAGTTCTGCGAGACAACAAGCTGCAAGTGCCGCGCCTACGTCACAGGGACCGAGTGAAACCAGCCACAGTCGAGCGCGTCCCTGCAGTCCTACCTTACATGAGAGGCGTCACTGACAAGATTGGCTACATTCTAAAGCGAGCTTCAATTAAAACTTACTTCAAGCCGCCAAAGAAAATTAGTCAGTTTCTACCACCTGTCAAGTGCCACATCCCTCTACAAGATGCAGGAGTTTACAAGCTTGATTGTGATTGTGGGCTCTCTTACATCGGACAAACAAAGAGATCCATTAGAACCCGGGTCAAAGAACACATAGCTGATGTGAAGCACCGTCGCAATACAACATCTGCTGTCTGCAAACACAGTCAGGACCGCCCAAGCCATTATATTCGCTTCGATAGACCTCAAATCCTGGCGAAAGAAAACCGATATCGCCCTAGAATGATTCGAGAAGCCATAGAAATTAAAAAAACATCCTAATTTCAATAGGGAAGATGGCTGGGTACTACCATCGTCATGGGATCCTGTTATTAATATAATAAAATCTAATAATAAATCTAAACATAACAGACAGGTAGATGTAGTAAGTTCTTACTGTGTAGATCAAAATGATAGCATTTCTGATTAATAATATTTTTTCACTTTTTCATTTGTAAATGTATGTAGTAATGTGTTGCTTAATAATTTGTTTTTTAAATAATAGCAAATTTAAATTAAAATTATTATTTTTAATTAATCTTAACTTTTTCAAATTACACATAGATCAATTGTGGCTTAAATAATAAATACTATATTTTATATTTTTTCTTATGGTTATAAATATAATAATGGCAACACTAAATATAGATTACCAATTAATATTTTTAAAATTGTAATAATTATAAAAATAATAGCAAAAATTAAATAAATAATTTTCCATATTCAATTATAATTAAAATTATAAAAATATTTAAAGTTAAAATATTGTAATGTAGTTGGTGCAATTTTCATTTTGTTAATTGTGGGTAGGCTGTCTGTAACAACTATATCTTTAAGACATGTAACACCTCAGTCTCTCCCGTGACCATGGATGCTGTAAAGCATTCGAAACGTCGGGAAACAAAAATACAAATAAATCCGCGACAAAATCCGAAAAGATAGTTTTATTTAAAAAGTTATAACTTACTACTACTTTGAGTGCCCATACAAACTTTCTTCCCCATTTTCACCCCTCTTAAGGGATGATTTTCGGGATAAAAACTATCCTATGTCCTTTAGAGGGTCTCAAACTACCTTCTTACCAAATTTCATCTAAATAGGCTCAGTAGTTTCGGAGCCTATTCGGTACAAACAAACAATAAATCTAATCTTTCCTCTTTATAATATTAGTACAGATTAAATTGTGAAACCTATTTCAAATAGCAAGTATGTATATATAGTAAAATAACAATTGAATAGTAGTTTGCAATGTATTTTTTTTTGTAATTAAAATATTTTTATCTGTTTAAAACGTACCTAGAGACGCACTCGAGCGAAGCAAAGGTAAGTCGTAATAAAAATCCATACTAATATTATAAATACGAAGGTAATTCTGTCTGTATGTTACGTATTTATGCCAAAACCGTCTAAATCTAGATATTTTGTATTAAAGTCATTATGTGAAGCGAGTGGGCGTCGAGAATTTGAAAGGTATTGAGGACGCACCCGAGTGAAGCTAGGACAAAAAAAAAGTAAAAGTACTCGACTAATTACCTAAAATAGAAATAAGGTTTCTATAGATAATGTTATGTTATCCTATATTAATTACTTTCGCCTTATGGTTTTTGTCAGGGAATCTCGTTAGACAGTACGTATTAAAAAAAAAAATTTTCTTAAAGAGGTCATATCCGAAAACAATATTATGTATAAGTATATTACTTAAAAAAACGTAAGTATTATACCTATATAATAGTCTTGGACTGTAGTAATAACATGATGTGATATGTTGTATAGCGGTAGCTTATGGGGCTCAAGTCATTATTAAAAGAAATAATTAAATAGAAATCATGATTTTTCTTTATTTTTAGCATAATTATTTTTTTTTTATATCAAAATCACGTCACTACAAATGCAATTACGTTGCGTGACGTCACTTATCATTGACACTAGAGTCTAGTATAGTATTATTATTATGATCAGTGCTAGTATGTGATGTATACAGTGTAGTTTCGAAAACTCAATTCTTGGTAATCTCACAGTTTTAATCGTTTAAGTAAAGTGATATTTAAATTTACTTTCGTTCTTGGTCAATACCATGGCAAATAAATTTGTTCGAGCTGACAACTGAAATTTGTCGCGGATGGTGGCGGCTTTTTTCGCTAAAAACCCTGATTTCAAAAATGTTAAAATTGTCATGTAAGTACTATTAGACGAATTAAATGATGTAAAAATCTGATTGGTCTTAAAATAATCCAAGGTAGGTACCTAAATAACCAGACTTTGCGCCAACAGACTTCTAATTTTTCCAAATTTTGGATAACTTTTTGGCAGGGAAAAAATTCAATACCCGAGAGACAGTATGAGAGCAAAATGCCTCTGAAGTGTTTGTTGGCTCCCGTATACTTGGCTTCTTTAAGAAGGACATTGAAAAATTACCAATGCGCTGGCAGAGATGCATCGATAGCATAGGTGCATATTTTGATTAAATAAAAATAATATAAAAAAAAATGATTAACTTACTGTATACTAAAAGGCAACTTCGTAAGTTCACCTAATATTAACGATGGTAGGATACAAAAATTTTAAAACTCTTTAATTATTAAAGAGAATCTGGAACAACATTGGAGAAGAGTAGTACCCACACGATAGGAAAGATGTAAGGTTTTAAGGAAGGACTTTGCCAATAGAAAATATTACTACAACAAAAAAAAAAACAAAATATTACTACAAGAAATAGTGAATCTATTTTGCCCATCCATAATATGCATGTGTCTTAATTTTCCAAGTAACAATTATAATGTCGAAATTTTGTACAGATCAGTATTAGGAATAGGATTAGTTATTAATTCCTATTTACTGTGTGTATATACAATATTTCTGTCAAGTCATTTATGCTTATTATTATTATTTCTTTTTAATTTAAACTAAAACATTTTAATGCAACGAAACCAACTTTTAGTTCTAATAAATAAACCCATTTAGACCTACAGTACCACATGTGATACATCAAAAGTAATAAATTATTCTGAAGCACCCTTAACAGTTTTTTTTTTATTTATGTTTATTCTAAAAGTCAAATGCAAGGTGTATTGTAACCCAAAAAAAAAACTTTCAATGCTATTACTACTTTCGTAAATTGCATACGTATGTAGTTTTATCAGTGATTACCTATTTATATTTTGTTCCAAGATGCCTTCAAGCAGGTAAAATTCA